AAAGGCCCCTTCCCAAAAAATGGTGTTTTGGCCCTGTTTTACCACTAAAATCATATAAATGTGTGTAATAAAGGAAATTTGACTTGACCTTATTTGCTTCTAGTATGATTTTTTTTTACAATTGGTTGATTCATAATTGTTTGTCATACTATTATAATTTACTTCTGTTCTAATAAATCCATTCTAAAAGGTGTGAAAATGTTATAACAGATATGTCAGTTATTTTTAAGAAAATTGAGTTCTAAATGTCACTTTTGTTAATTGTCATTAAGTTGATAATTGCCTAAGTGGTGTTAAGTGTCAACACCTGTGGAAGAGTGCAGACATAAATTATGAACTGGAAGGACATACAAAACTTGCCTTCAGAGAAATTGTAACAGCTAAAGGGAAAACATCATTTTAAACAAGAAAAAGGTAAGAAAATACCTAAATTGTAACAGCTGAAGGGAAAACATCATTTTAAATAAGAAAAAGGTAAGAAAATACCTAAACCATGTTTTTTGAAAATAGGGAGATTAATTTGTAAAAATACCACATCTGTTAAGAAAATTCTTTGAAAATATGACAGAAGAAAGTGGGAGTGACTCCCGCTAAAAGTGGGAGAGTTCACATGTATGACATAGGATTATCGCATGGTTTGGAACTTATCCTTTGTTGTCACTAACCCATTATACTTCAATGAGCATTTGAAAACTGTACTGATATATAGCAGTACAGCTCTTTCATTCATAAAAAAATTAACTGCTATAAAGTGGCTGAGTTTTCTTTTACACCTTGTCAGTAATTTTTTTTTCATGCATGCATGCATGGTACATAGCAGAGGCAGGGTCTTTCAAATAGAATGGTCTTTTGACGGACCAATTTTACAGAAAATGCTGTATCGGTTGATTCACTTGGGTTATTAAATACATGTATAATCAGTTTTTACTTTAAAGGTAACAATTTTATAGATTTGCGATGAATTTTATTCACGGTGTCAAGCGGTGTAAAGGAAAAAATCTACTGCTCACATTTTAAAATAGGTCCGAGTTTCATGAATTTTTTTTTAATGTATGCATTGTTCAAAGAAACTGATTTTACAGAGATTTAATATCATGTAAAAATATTATAACATTTCATGATGTTATTTGAAAATGGCCATTAATATCGGCAAATATTCTGGACAAGCAATCTATGCTTTTTAACTTTAAAATATTTATCCTTTTTTTTTAAAAAGATTTCTAAAATTATCATTTTTGCTCTTGTATTTAATATTTACCCTTACATAACTTGCATACATACACATACAGCAAAATATACAGAGTTCTGTCGAGACATGTTTTATTGTAGCGAGAACGTTTACATAGCGTGTTTCAAGACCATTCTATTTGAAAGACCCTGACAGACTCTATAGGGATTCTAGGTGATACTAAGTCAGATGCTGTTAAGTAATGGTTCAGGTGAAGTGCACAGGGCATTACAGGGGAAAATATTATCTTTTTTAGGGGAAAACACCTAATTTTAGCTGGGGGTGGGGGGGTGGGGGGGAAGGGGAACAGCCTTTATTGTATATTTCAATGAAGTTTTTTTCACAGAGGCTCCAATGGGACAGTGGTAAGAAACATTTCCAGTAAAAAAAAGCAATAAAATAAAATCAATAAATTATTGTTTGATTCTTCACTAAACATTGTAATAGTGAATAACTCATATTTCCTGAAATTAAGTTAAGTTAGCAAGAATTTGAGATTTGTGCAAAAACAGATATGCTACCAGATAGATACCATTTTTCCAATTGCTTTCAGAGACAAGATAGAAATTATTATTAAGATATAATAATTCAGCATTACCGGAATATATTACAAAATATGAAAAAAAATCTACGTCTATGAATATCTTGTGAACTGAGGCTGATGAAAATGTTATTTATTAATCAGACTTGTTTTTATGCCAAATACATAAGTTACTTATAAAAGCATTTTCGGTTAATAAAAATACTGAAAAACCCTGGAAAAACCCTGAACACGTTGATAGATATTCATAAAGCTTTTAAATAACTGACCAATAAATAATATGTCTGAACCAGTACTTTTACTATTAAACAGAACAGTATGCAAATCTCTTTCTAAACAGATACGTTACTATGATAAATGAATACGTTACCAGACCAGAAGTTACCAACATTTACCATTTTGCACCCAAAATAGTGTACTTTAACTTGTACTTTAAAACACCTTTAACTTGGATTTTAATCTGACAAAAATCATAATCATCAATCATAAAAAAAATAATTGAACAACTCTTTAACATTTACAATAACAAAGTAAATATATAAAAAATCCATTAATATTCTATATTTTGGTTACAATTTAGCAATATTTTTTACTTGCAGATTTTGTAGATTTTGAATTTGTAGATCAAATGTTTAACTGGCATGACGCATCTTCTAATTACTATAATAATTACACATATACGCGTTTTGAACATCTGATAATTTTGAACAATGATAATAAGGTTAAATGTCAGAAACATCTTGATCACAAGTAAACATAGATGTCTTCTTGTAACTAAACAATAACATTTTAATTTATAAATGATAAATAATTGTTTGGATTAGATTAGATATAACAGAAGAGCACTTACTGGTGACAATGTACAGTTATAAACTTGTTCATATGTAATTAATTTTAGCATATTTTGTGCTTGAAAACTAGCTGATCTATTTAAATAAATATTTCAGCTTATAAGTAATCACATTACTAGTGCTATGTTTTTACATTTGATAAAAGAACATGGATGCTGTAATCTATAATGTTTGGCTGTTATCATTAGTCTATCAAAACATAGTGAAATAGAGCAACTAAATAGAGCTAGAGTAAATTGGCATTATTAGCTTTTAACTGGCAAAATGCCAGCTTAAATTGTGCAACTACCACTTCTGAAATAAACTACTTTAAAGATATACTATGAATAAACTATGTATTGGAAGAAGGTAAGTTGGTCCTTTCTCAATAACATAAACTGACAGAAATTAGTGTGTAGATAATAACAAATAACAAATAACAAATAGACTAATAATTCTAATAATACAATAATTTAAAAAAGTAAAATAAGAATGCGACGAAAATCAGGTTTTCAACGACAAAGTTTTGAGGTGACAGCTATCAATAGGTGAAAGTGCACTGAAGTTATTGAGTAGAACATTCTATTGTAAGCAAATGACCTTGACATTGATATCTGAGTGGCAATCCAAAGCAAGTTTGGTGTCAAAAGGTCAAAGCAAAGTCAAGTTATAACATGAAAACTTAATAAAGTTATTGAGCGGAAACCAAAAGTTGACAGACAGACAGACGGACGGACGGACGGACGGACGGACGGACGGCCGCCCGCCCGCCCGATATTACAATAACGTTGAAAACCTGGTAAAAAATACCCTTGGAATACAGCTGCTCAAACATACTTTCTTCCCTGACTAGTAGTTAGTGAAGTTCTAGATTGTAGCGAAGCAAGCAAGCAAGCAAGCAAGCAAGCAAGCAAGCAAGCAAGAAATTGCATAATTCCTCTTAGATACTTTAAAACTGATATGGCGCCCAATATTCGGCCTGGTCAACTACAATATTAAACCAATAATAAAACAGTAAATATTGCCACAGTGTACAATAAACGGTGTAGCCTGTAATGTAAGTGAGCGAGTGTGTTTGTTAATTTGTTAATAATTTCATAAGAACTCTCATACAGTTCAAAATCTTCTTACCTGGGCTGGCTATGAACTCCAAACCAACTTGTGCGCGCTCCACATAATGTTTATACTGTATACTTGCGCATCGATACACATTTGAAGTAGTAACATGGCAATAGAAGAAATAGTTCCAGAATAAATTGCCGATTATTCAATAATTATACATATACATATATTATACATAACTTTACAAACTTTCATTTCAGACAGAAATGCAAATGCAAAGTTTGATACAGTTTTTATGTGACAAAATATTTTTTGATTTTGTTTTTTTACCTGACAGAATTCACATGGTTCCGGCCTTTGGCAAAAACACCACACCAATTGAAGCCATAGCTTCGAACTGGCCAGGGAGGATTTCATGCATATAGTAACTATTGTGGATTTAAATGACTGGTTGTCTTTAAAGTGTATTTTCAGCATTAAATTTGTTTTTGTGACATGTAATATGATCATTGGCAAATACGAAAACATGGTTATAAATCACATGCTGTTAATTATAGATGTCAAGGCCGCCCAATGTTTGTAAACATTGCCTAATATCTCTACCATACTGTTATTCGGTAATTTCCGTAATGGTGATTTTCGTAAAAATCCTAACCCTAATTTAATAGTGATTGTCACCGTTAATGAAATTGTCATTTTACACCCATTTATATCATTACAATATATATCGAACAACTTAATGAATATTTAATATTTTTACATTCTTAGTATAAATTAAAGGTTCATTTGTTTATTTATGGATTATCCCCTGTTATGAGTTTTGAACGAACTCTAAAAACAAAAGTAATATATATATATTTAAGTCCAATAAAACATACACTCCCATATAAGTAGATATGTATACATAGCATAATATGTATCTATACACTATACAAAATGTTACTATTTTGATAATAATGTAATTAAACACAAAAATAATGTAAAAAGTACTTTATATAATTTATTTCTTTATTTTTTGTATTATTTTTTATTAATAATATCTGATTTTGATATCCTAATATATGATTATACAATAAAAAAACATATCTATATACATTAAAGTTGTATTAGAACATTACATAACCCTAAAGTTAACATTTATTGTGATGAAAGAACATAATAATAGAATTGTACATAATTTTGAGATTTTTTTTCGGCACGAAAAGAAGAAAATGGGGTATTGGATCTGCGAATCTGATTAAGGTATGGCAACCTTGAATACAGTTATTTTTTGAAGACATACCGAGTATTGCAGAAAATGAATTATTTGTATTTTGAACATCAGAATCAAAAGTTATGACACATACAAAAATGTGTTCCCGTAGGTAATTTTTTCTCTAGTCTATGGCTGCGCGCATCTGTTTTCTGTCAACCAATGAAAATGAAGCATTTGTTAAAAGTTGCAAAGTAGGTCAATCCGATTTCTCGCCATTGTCCCCCCTTATATAAAGGAACGCTTTCTGTTGGCGAGTGTAACTATTCAGTATCTGAATATCAATCATGCCAGCTAAAGGTGTTGCAAGCAAAGGATCCAAGAAGGCCGCCACTAAGGCAAAGGCCGCAAGGTCTACTGACAAGAAACGCAGGAGGAGAAGGAGGGAATCCTACTCTATCTACATCTACAAGGTATTGAGACAAGTTCACCCCGATACCGGTGTCTCAAGCAAAGCCATGTCCATCATGAACAGCTTTGTCAACGACATATTCGAGAGAATCGCCGCCGAGGCTTCAAGACTCGCCGTCAAGATGACATCATATACAAGTGAAAAACTGTAATTTACATTGACTTCAATAGTTTTCTTATAGGGAATATCGAGTTTCTTCTGTACGTATGTTGAACTTGAACACCATTTCTGCCTATTTCGCTCACTTTGGAGACTTGTCATTTTTTCATCCTTATATGTATACGGTAAAAAATCAGTTTATCACATGCGGAAGAATGTTCCCTTTAATTTGATACCAAACACTTATATTTATATACATATACAATAATGAAAATGTTGAAATATGCGATACCGGGGAAACACAAATATAGAAATTACATTGCGCGCACCTGACTTATTTCCATCCGGTCCGCGCGCATATTTTTCGCGCTGACCTACTTAGCATATATTGTACTGACAGGGCCGCATTGAATCATTCTTCGCTAGAATTTTGTGAAATCAAAAGCACAAGTATGACTGACACTGCACCAGCACCAGTACAGAAGGCTAAGAAGGCTGCCAAGCCAAAAAAGCCAGCATCACACCCTAAATATGGGGAAATGATTGCTGCAGCTTTGGGGGCTTTGAAAGAGAGGACTGGATCTTCAAGACAGGCAATTTTGAAATACATCACTGCCAACTACAAATGTGGTGATAATCTGACTGCCGTCAACTCTCACTTGAAAATGGCTCTTAAGGCTGGAGTCAAGAGTGGAGCACTGAAGCAGTACAAGGGAACCGGCGCCTCAGGATCCTTCAAGCTCGGTGAAACTAAGAAGGCAGCAAAGAAGGCCGCCAAGCCAAAGGCAGCTAAACCAAAGAAGGCAAAGACACCAAAGAAGAAAACCGCAGCAAAGAAGCCGGCAGCCAAGAAGGCAGCGACACCAAAGAAGGCTAAGGCCGCCAAGAAGCCAGCAGCCAAGAAGGTTAAAACACCAAAGAAGGCCGCAGCAGCTAAGCCCAAGAAAGCTGCCAAATCACCAAAGAAGGTGAAATCAGCTAAGCCTAAGGCAGCCAAGAAGACACCAAAAAAGGCAGCAGCTAAGAAATAAACTGGAAATCATTACTTCCAAAACAAAACAAAGGTCCTTTTCAGGACCATACCAAATATTTCGAAAGAAAATGTCATTCAATATTGTCATGTGAATCATATATTTAACAAAAATAATCCATTTATACTTATTATACATTCTAAATAATATAATATATGATAAATTAATATAATATATGATAAATTAATATAATATATGATAAATTAATATAAGATATGATAAATGAGTTTCTATGATGGATTATAACAGTAAATAAGGTGGATTAACAGTAAATTACCCATACCAATTAATATATGTTTTGGCAAAATTGTCCATTTTTTTTGGTTTACAAGTATAAGAGTAATGTACTGAAGTCTATTCTTATAAATGATAAGTCTGCTCATATAAATAAGAAGGAAAAAGATCTGTTGTAAATATTGAAATAGAGAAATGGTCATATTTTTTAACATTCACCTCAACAAGCCAAAACATGGCAACATTTTCAGAAGTGAAACATAGATATTGCTGTATTTTCTAATGAAATATATATAGGAAACAGTGAATGTATCTATAGTTACAGACAATATATCATAACGGACTGAAATAATGTGTATTTTCATATAAATAAGAGGAAAATGAAGTGAGAAAAACTGCAAAAAATCTTGTTACTTTTACATTTTCAAGCAGAAAACGGGATATAAAAGCTGCTCTCTGATTGGTCGAGAGCACTTGTCTCCTTTGATGTCATTAGTCCAATTACTATCCGATTTTCGAGTCAAGCTCGGCTTTTTCACGGCAGCCAATGACAGGGCGGCGGGCTTGGGAACGTATTTAGGTGACAGAAAAACCATAGAGTAATCATTGTATCGTTCTACATTCAAAATGGCAAGAACAAAGCAGACAGCTAGAAAATCTACCGGAGGAAAGGCTCCACGCAAACAGCTGGCCACCAAGGCAGCTCGCAAGAGTGCACCAGCCACCGGCGGTGTTAAGAAACCACACAGGTACAGGCCAGGAACCGTTGCTCTCCGTGAAATCAGACGTTACCAGAAGAGCACCGAGCTTCTCATCAGGAAACTTCCATTCCAGCGTCTTGTACGTGAAATCGCTCAGGACTTCAAGACTGATCTCCGATTCCAGAGCTCAGCTGTGTTGGCCCTGCAGGAAGCCAGCGAAGCATACTTGGTCGGTCTTTTTGAAGACACCAACTTGTGTGCCATCCACGCCAAACGTGTCACCATTATGCCAAAGGATATCCAATTGGCACGCCGCATCCGAGGTGAACGTGCTTAAGTGCCTTATTTGGCCTTATATCATAAAACGGCCCTTTTTAGGGCCACAAAATAA